TATTTGCAGATGATATGATCCTATATGTAGAAAACTCCAAAGACTCAGTAAAAAAGCTACTAGTTCTCATTGGAAGATTCAGCAAAGTGGCAGGATATAAGATTAACATACAAAAATCAGTTGGATTCCTCTATACCAAAAACAAAAGCATTGAAAAGGACATTAGGAAAGCAATACCATTTACAGTAGCCACCCAAAGGATGAACTATCTAGGAATAAATGTAACCAGAGAAACAAAGGATTTATACAAAGAAAACTACAAAACACTACTGCAACAAACCAGAAGAGACTTACAAAGATGGAAGAATGCATCATGCTCCTGGATAGGAAGACTTAACATTGTGAAAATGTTAATACTGCCCAAAGCATATAATGCAATCCCATTATATTGTATTTACACATATAATGCAATCCTAATCCATATTCCAGCAACATTCTTCAAAGAGATGGAAAAACAAATACAAACTTTATATGGAAAGAGACCCAGGATAAGCAAAGCACTGCTTAAGAAGTAGAATAAGGTTGGAGGCCTCTCACTCCGTGACTTCAAAATTTACCATGCGGTGGAGATGTGGAGAGACCGGAACACTCCTGCATTGCTGGTGGGACTGCAAAATGGTCCAACCTCTCTGGAAAGCAATATGACGCTTCCTCAGAAGGTTGGAAATAGAAGTACCTAATGGGCCATAACAAGAGTAGATATAATCACACCTGTGTTCATAGCAGCACTATTTACAATAGCAAAAAGATGGAAGCAGCTAAAGTGTCCATCAACTGAAGAATGGATAAACAAAATGTGGTACATACACACAATGGAATATTATGCTACATTGAAGAATAACAAGGAAGCTGCAAGCCAATGCATAACATGGGTGAATGTTGAGGACTTTATGTTGAGTGAAGTTAGTCACAAAAGGAGAAATACTGCATAGGACCACTACTGTAAAAGGCTAAGGGAAAGAACCCATACTAAGGGGAGGGGGGTCACAATTGTTTTCTGGCTACTGAGATTTGGGGGTGAGTAAAGGGAGTGGAATGTGGAGCACAGGGTAGGGAATAGACACAGGATCGGTTGGGTGCTAGGTATATAAGAAGGGGGTGGGGAATGGGAGAACAAAGCGGATGGGAGAACAATTAGGCAGGTTTGTATGGGCTAAGTGGGATAGAAGTAATAATGATGTATGCACAACAGTGGAACAGGAGGGCTCTGGGATATAGGGATTGAGACATGGTTGGAATGGGGAAAAGGGGGTGAAATAATGTTAAGATGCTTGGCTGTTTTATGAATCTTGTTTTTCCTGGTATATCATTATAAAATAGACACTTGATGGGTAGAGACAGGAATGGCTAGAAATAACACCGTAGAAAGTCTGTAAGTCCACCTTCTGCCTATAACTGATTGGAATACATAAAATGGGCGTACAGTGTGCCAAGTGAAGGAGGCTTCCTGTGGAGCCTCTGCATTACATAAGATCATAGGTAGAATCCTGAACCGCATCCAGAATCTTCAGAGGTGGGAAATTTCCACTTGAAAGGACAAGAAGACCAATCTGGAGCAGCTAGAAGAACAGAAGATACTTCTTGAAAGAAAGACCGATAGGAAAAATACAAAACAATATAGGCAGTCTGACTGATCACTACAAGAACAAGCAAGTTGCTCACCCAGGAGACATCAAGGCAAGTGGTTGGGTCCCCTCAGAGCAAACCCCCTTCCAAGACTCAGTAGGAATACACGCTCTGATTGGCGACCACGTTCATCATTAATAAGGGGTAGTGAGGCAAAACCAGCAATGAAGCTGTGAGCTAAGCCCTACAATGTTCAATAGACTCTAGTGAACCCTGGGGGAGACCTGGTTGACCAGCAGTGTGGCAAGACCTGGGGACTCTTGGGCCCAGAGTCAGTGACATATCCACAGAGCACTAGAGTGGAGAGTGAAGCGTCTAGCTGATAAGAAGAGAGGGCATATGCACAAGAACACCCTCACTTGCAGATAATACCCACTTGACAATGACTGCATGATTAGAGTTCAACTATAAGAAGAAAGAGGACAAAAAGAGTAATATGTTACCATTTGATGAACTTGACCTACACGTATGGATGCAGTAGTTCAAAAGAGGGAGCAAATCTTTACAGTAAGGATCATTCCCACCCCCTCCACACATGGAGAGGACAGCGATGGGCAACTTGGACTTTGGCTTCGCAAAATGGGAGGTTTCAAAGGCAAGAAGTGACTGGCTTACAATCTTTCAAGAGGGAATCTAGATCCAGAGGGCGTGGAAGAAGGTGGAATCTTCACTGAGTAGTATCGAATCTGTCTAGGTGGTGCTGATGAAAGGAAATGCGGCGAGGTCTCTTGTGATACAATAGTGAATAATTGTTATCAGGCTGATTGTGGGGGTTGGAAATGTAAAGGTAGACATTTTGTAGCAAGGAGTGTAGTGACTCTGCAGTCTAGGAGCATTGGTCCCTGGGACCATCAAGGCAGAAGAGCGGAGAGCTGAACCCTACCCAGAAAAGCAGTCATGCCTGAGATGGAGGCAGAGACATGACGTGGAGAGATGGAGTGGCTGGGGACTTTAGACCCAGAGAGGGAGAGGGGCTGTGAGCTGACGACCAGTGGGGGACTGGCTTGGAGTGTATACCCTGTGCTTGGTTGGTGATGCATGGAGGGGATTGTAACCACAGCAATGAAACAATATAAGATAGGATGAATGTAAAGCTAATGTTCTTCCATATAAATTATCACATAATTCACAATAAAACTTTAAAAAACAAGACAAAACTATATAGCTTTAAGTCAGCATAAATAAATACTCTTAGACTCGATAGCACTTAACAACAACAACTATTGCATAAATCACGGCATAATATTTCACAATATGTGAATGATCTTTTGAAAGGGAGAAAAGTAAATAATTCCCATTTGCATTGTTTTGTTTTTATCTAGGAACTAAATAGTAGTTCTGTTTTTTGCTGATTAAAATATTGATTTAGATGGTACTCTGAAGGGATGTGTTTAGAACTAGTTTTCAGACTGATGGACGGAATTGTGGGTAGACATAATTGTTTCCTTTTCGAACATGTGGCTGTCAGCTGACATTGCTACAACTTCATGTGGATCTGCCAGTTGTACATCACATGCAATTCAGTTACATTGACTGCACTTTAAACATGGTAGGCTCTCATGTAGGGAGGAATAAATTACGTCATCTGTTTAGCTCCATGAACCCCAAGACAAACGTTTGTTTTGTTTTCAAACAGTGCCCTAATCCGACCACTTCCAAGTAAGCAGATGTTTGAGCATGTGCGAAGGAGACACCGAGTATTTTTTGTTTATGTAGGTGGAGAGTCACCTTTGAAGGTAAGGCGTGATTTTATTTTTGTAATTCACAGAACTCAGATATGTTGTTGTTGTGAAGTGCTGTCGAGTCGGTTCCGACCCATAGTGACCCTGTATAGGGTTTCCGAGGAGCAGTTGGTGAGCTTGAACTGCCAACCTTGCAGTTCAAATGGCTTTGCAGTGTGGCGCATTAACTCACAGCGCCACACAAGGCCTCCAGAAATCACATCTACTACGATTTAATTGGGTACTTAGCCAAAACCATACCAGAGATTCAAAACTCAATTTAATTAGAAATGTTTTTGTTTTAATCTCTATATTTTTATGCTAAAAATGATTTCTCCTTAGTGTTTGCCTTCATGAAATACAAGTGAGTAAGGAGTGGTGGGTAAATGATACTGTCTACCTTCGGATCTCTTCTGGTTTTGCCCTACTTTGATCTAGTATTGTTTTATAACAATGTGGGTGCTTTAGGACTGCATGGCACACTTCACATGTAAATGTTTTAAAGGCAAAGACAGACCAGTGTCCTAACCGCACATATGCTTGTGTGTGTGTACATATGTACAAGGGGCTTCAAAAAGTTTGTGGAAAAATGGAGTTAAAAGATAATTGATTTTGTTTTTGAAGCCCCCACCCCCATATGTATATGCAAATATGTATCTCTTCCAAAAAACTACACCCCAGTTGCTGAGCCTTCACATCCAATGCACAGCTCCTCCATGTTTGACAGCAAAGGTGCTCTGTAAACTTTTCTTTCCTGTTTTCTTAATAAGCAGATCGTCAGGCCTTTCATCTGAGGTGCCTCTGGGTACCTCTGAACACCAGACTTTGGGTTAGTAGCCGAGCTCTCGACTGTACCTCCCGCCTCTATTTCTGTTTCTGTCTGTACCTATCACTCCACTCTCTTCCGGTAATTATCGTCAGATTAAATGAGTAAATAGAAATTGAACTGGAGTCATAGTCCGTGAACTTGATCTGGGGAAGGATCTAAGCACTAAATAAACAGTAGCGTTAAGGTCCTCATCTTCGTTCTTCCCACAGAAAAATACTGAGAAGCATGTTGGCGGGGGCAGTGTGGTGGCTCCATAGGATAAGCACAGGACTGCAAGCCCATCAGCCATTCCATAGAGGAAAGATGAGGCTTTCTGCTCTTGCAAACCTTTAAAGAAACCTTAGAAATCTTATACAGGGTCGCTGTGAGTTGGAACGGACTCTATAGCACTTAACAGTAGCCACAGCACTTGGGCAGCATAATGACCCTGTGTAGGATTTCTGAGGAGCGACTGCTGAGTTTGAACTGCCGATCTCGCAGTTAGCAGCCCAGTGCTTATCCTGCAGCGCCATTCCAGGACTCACTGGGAGATTGCTGCTTCCTGCGTAGGTTGTGCCGAGTGTTTAATGGGGAATGAAGTTCGGTATTTGATACTTACAAGTGATCCTGCGTCTGTCTTGTCTGTCTTTACAGGAGAAATATGTAGACGCTGCTTCAGAGTTAATTGTCTACTCGTACTTCTTTGCTGCCTCAGAAGAGGTGGTTCCTGAGGTAATACTTAAAATTAGATTTTAATGACATAACTTCAGTTTTTTATTTATTACTTGGTTTCATCTGTCAGGCTTCTTTACTGTAATATGTGTGAAAATATTGAGCACGTGGACTCCTTACTGCTGGCAGTACAATGAGTATTCATAAGCAAATATCCCCAGATGCCTAGCAGGTAGCTTTAGCACTTTTATCCATCTTAAACAATAGCAGTAGTGACAAGTGATAGCCCAAATCCATAAATATTGAGTAAATTTTCAGTCTTTTATTCAAGAACTATTGACTATACTTTTCTGTACCAAGTGCTGATTTTAATCCTGGCTAATCCGTATCAATCAAGAAAGACCTAATGAAAACTTGCATTTTAATGAGACATCAGATCGAGGTCCCTAGCACCCAAAGGCCTGGATAGGTGCACATAATAGCAAGTGCTACCTGGTCATACTTTATTACGCATCACTTTATTAGTATTATTAACCTCTTCAACTGCTGTGTTCAAGCATTGATGAGTCCTGAAAATACCAGTATTATTCATGTTTTAATTTTAGTGCCAAGTATGAAGTTGCAAAAATCCTCCAGGGGAGAACAGTTATAACAATATGGGAAATTTTACATCTATAGAGAATATTCATATTAGGGTAAAGCCTGTAATTTGGTGGTCTCCCTCATGTTTTGAAATTTAATGTTTGGTTACATGAAGCTTTTTTAGCTTCACAACTGATGTTTGTGAACCCCTGGAGGAGTTACAAGAGGATACACAGATGAACTCAGACAGTTCCTACTTGGGGATATTTAAAGATAACGTGGAGAAGATGGACAAATAGATAGCAACTGTAATCCGAGGTCGCTCCAAGCATTACTAGGGAGAGAAGCTAAAATGTGCAGTGTGTGAAACTGCTTTATTTCTCGCACATAGCACGCCACAGAAACCGGGCCCGTGTGCGTATCCTGTGCACACATTGGAAGGGAACATCTGGTAGAGTTGTGCAGTTTGTGAAAGCCATATAAAGCCTGTGTTATTTGTGTGATAATATGGTGAATGATGACAGGGTTTCAGGCAGTGTCCTTGGTGTTACAAGGATATGCCTTACAATGTGTTTTCAAGAGAGAGATGCAAATATTTAAAATTACTTTTCAAGCACCTGTGTGGATGAGCTGTCAAGAGCAGGTGAATAGATCAGAAATGTATGCTTGTTTCAAAGCCTGTTACCACTTTAAATGGCCACTTTGATGTGCTGTTCATTTCTTAGTGGTATTATAACCACATCTTTTGATTTTATTTTGTCTCTCCTGAGATGTCGACCTTCCTCCTTGTATTTTTAATCTCAGAATGTTTTTACTTTTTTGTTTTATCCTTGTTTTTATGTATTTATGCTTAGCTTTAGTCTTGCTAATTTCCTGTAGTAACCCTGCATGTATGTGTGTGTGTGTGTGTGTGTGTGTGTGTGTGCAGAAGGTGGCACCAACCACTGAGTCCGTTCTGGCAACTAGCAGCCCTCTGTGGGTTTTACAAGGATTGGCTTGTGTTTGAACCACAAGTCTTGTGGTTAGCAGTCCAGTGCTGGTCCTACAGCGCCACACCAGGACTCCAAAACTTGTATTTGTTGTTGTTTGGTGCTTTCAAGTCCATTAGTTAATCTAGACAAAGGGCATGTGAATAGTCATTGAACTTTTGTATGACTGACATTTCTAACTGAAAACTGAAGAACAAATTTTTGAAAACTTTATATTCTTGCTACAATGATCAGTATATTTTTGGAGATGAAGTAACCAATTTTAAGGGGAAAAAAAGGGGCACCGACCATTCCTCCCACAAGCCTCTGTGCTCAGGTGGATTCCATGATTCAGTGCGACGGCCACACAGAGCTCAGACACCACACTCACAGTTAGGGAACAGGTGAGAATGCTCGGTGAGAAATGCGCAGGGCACAGTTGTTCAGGTCCAGACAGCTTCCCCTCAGCCAGGCCTCTTTAGGTATGGCCAGGCTTATAAAGCCCCCTTAGGAAATCCACTGCACCATTCACCTCAGCCTGAAGACCCTCGGCTCTAGCTCCCTCACTGAAGTACCTGTAGGCCCCCCACTCTGCAGGCAGGCCTCCTGCCCAAGTCCCTCAGCCTGACGTGCTCCGTGGCCCAGGAAGCCCTCCCACGGCCGTCTCGTGCTCTGACTCTTGGTTCTGTTGCTGCTGTGGCTCCTCTCACTCCCCGTGTCAGCGTTCTGTCCCTGGTCCCGGAGTCCAGTGCACAGAGATCTCGGAGTCCAGGACGTGCTCCCCTCCTGCTGCTCATTTCATGGCAGTGAGTCAGTGCCCTCTCCTGCCCCTGAGGTGGATCAGTTTGTACCCACATTAGAGTGCCAAGTTTCTACATGTAACCCAGTTAGCAATCCCTCACAAGTGAATCATGCCATCCTAGCATCTTCTCCACCTTCCCGTACCCAGACTCATCAGGAAAAAGTCAGGTGGGGCTTACAGAGACTAAGGCTCCTGGACTTACCCAGTATTTCTCTTCTGCTCTATAAGGTCTACCGAAATGTCCCTGTAGTGAAGTAATCACAGTGCAGGTGTAAGAAGCACGTGTCTTCTCAATGAAGCCCACATTATTAACCTGCATTACAACCTGACCCTGTGACGTAGTTTAGTTTGCACTGCTCTCAGGTGGAAGCCCAGAGGCCAATCCTCACAGGCAGCTTGTGAGGATCCTGGTTTCCCAGGGAGGAAGTTACTGAGGAGCAGACAAGGTGAACTGTGATGGTTTGTGCACACAGACAGGAAGTGGTGGGGTGGACTGGGGCCCGACTCTGGGCCTCCCGTCTCTTCCCAGGTGTCTCTAAGGGATGCAGGGAGGAGAGGCCTCCCACGGGACCCTGGGATGAACGTGAGACCCTGTGCTCTTCAGTGCTTCCAGACTCTTCCAGGATGTTTCGCTTGTCTTTTTTCTCCCCTTGGCATCCTTTGATGCGTTTACAGTCATAGCTACACATTCAATGTTTTCCGTGATACAAGTTACTTATTGACACTTGTGATGTTTGCAGTCGGTGGTGCTGAGAGAGATGCCAGCTGTGCTTGTTTTCAAAGATGACACGTACTTCATTTATGATGGTGAGTCCCAGCATGTGAACTCCAGTGACACCTGTAAAGTTAAAATACTGTGTCTTTTATAGGACACAGGTGTTGGTAAAAGATTGAGCACAATGCTCTTACTGCTTAGCAGCGCATTGGGAGAAGGCCTCAAGAGGGCTGGCTTTTGTCTCAACTTCTGTTTTCCCATCTAGTGCTTCTTTTATTCTGAGTTTTGCCTGCAGAATTTGTTATATTGTTGTTATATTATTTGTCTTTTGGGGATGTGAACCCTATGTGATGACTGTACTTAAATGGTCCAGCCCCCCACATCTCCCTACAGCCCCCATATATCTATCTAGCCCCCCATCTCTCTCCAGCCCCCCACATCTCCCTACAGCCCCCATATATCTCTCTAGCCCCTCATCTCTCTTCAGCCCCCCACATCTTTCCAGCCCCCCACATATCTCTCCAGCTGTGTCTCTTCCATCACTGACACAAGAAACTACCCGCTGGCCATTGTTTCTTCATTGGCAGCAAACCCTTGACTTATTAAGACTATTTTTAATATGATAGCAACATACAGTGTGTAAAGGAGACCTGGTGTGGCACTATATAGTAAGCACTTGACTGCTAACTGCAAAGCTGGTGGCTCAAGCCTACCCCTTGGAAACTCCATACAGGGTCACTATGCATGGGAACCGGTCAACAACACCAGTGACAACTACAACAGCAATATTCCAGAACCTGCATTTCCCAGACTGCCCTGTGGTTCACTAGGGCAATGTAGGAAACTCACAAGGACCTTACACTTCATTTAGATCTTTAGTTCAGTGTAATTTGGGTGAAGTTAAAGAGCAAATCAGTTTTCCATTCAGCTAGGCATACACAGTTTATTTCATGGGTACTGTGGATAATTTGTGGAGAGCGGACAATTTGTTGTAACTGACCACACAAGCCACAGCCTCCACTCTCCAGAAAGCAACAGAGTTAGATGGGGTCCAGCGTCCATAACCTACCGCTCTGATGTGGATTGCAGTGGAGGGGCCTGGACAGGGATTGTCTTTTAAAAATGTAGAACAAAACTCTTTGAGTGTTTTAAACCCTGAAGCTCCACGTTCGTCGGCGCCCACATGACCAGTGGTGCCACACCAGACACTGGCTCTGTACGTCAGTCCGTCCTCTCGTACCACTGACTGTGCCTGGTGTGAATTACGAGACACGAGTGACAAGTGTCACCTTCTGTTTTTACATCAGACTTTATCCTCATGAAGCCAAGTTGTGACAGTTAGATGTTGGAAACTCACAGTCTGCCCTTCTCACCATGGCTTTGTGTTTAGAGTTTGAAGATGGTGACCTGGAGTCGTGGATCACCAGGGAGAGGTTTCAGAACTACCTCACCGTGGATGGCTTCCTCCTGTACGAGCTCGGAGACACAGGTGACAGTCACGTGCAGCTCTCCCATCACACAGGGTTGTTCAGTGAGCACTGGAGCCCCTGTGGTGTAGACAGTCTACTTACGCTCCACTTCTAAGCTGTCTTCCTTATTCCAGGCACAGATGCCACATCTGCCTTAGGAGAGGTTTAGTCAGAGAAGCCGTTTTATATATGGCTTTACAACAAGCTTTTGTTTTACTAACGACAAGGACAGCAGAAAGCCTAGATAATAAAGAAGGGACAGAAATAACCAAGAACTTACAGTAGGGCCTAACTTTGTACTAGGAGTTAGAATACAGCTCATAAGTTTTTGAGATCTGCTTTTACTTGGGAAGAAATAGGAATCAAATCAGCATGGTTTCTTACCATTCTAGGACTGGAATGGATAGGCTGAGGTCATGCTAGCCATTGTTCTCGTGGGAGAGCTTTCCTTTTTCCCTGACCCTCCTCTTTCCAAGGATGTTGTCGTTCTACCAATGACTCGTCCTTCCTGACAACCTGTCCAAAGTACCTGAGATCAAATCTCACCATTGTCACTTACAAGGAGCATTCCTTCTGGCTCCATGTTTTCCAAGACTGATGTGCTTATTCTTATGGAAATACATGGTACTTCAGCTTTCTTCACCAACGCCCGATTCACATACATCCATTTTCCTGCAGCAGCATCCAACATTTTGGCCGTAGAACCCTTTAGTACTACTACTCTGTGCTTGGATTTCTTCAATTCTTTCGGCTTAAGAAATGGGGAGCATGTTCTTCTAAGTCTGGCTCTGCACGTTCCCTGATGATACTTGACTTTGTCTACTTAAGCTCCCCTTTGCGTTCTTCTGTTCAGCTCTTTTACTTCCTCATTTAATGTAGTCACTTTAGCTTCTGAAGTTCAATAACTCAGGAGACATTTGAAAATTGAGGATACGCATAAAGTCCAAATACTAAGAAAATAGTAAATAAAACCATTTTTAAAAGGAAAATAATCATATGTACTCACCTTTATGATTGTTGGTGTGGTGCTGTAGGATAAGCATTTAGCTGCTAGCTGCAAGGTTAGCTGTTCAAACCTACCAGCTGCTCCTTGGACTCCCTGTCCAGGGTTGCTCTGACTCAGCAGCACTTAACAACAAGAGCACTTCATGTTTCAGCAGAGAGCCTGTCGAACTTAGATGTTTGTTAAATACGACGTCACAAGAAGCAGCATTAAAATGTGCAAATTATATTTGAAGATTCTTGAATTAAACCGAACCCAAATAGTCTGCCAATGTACAACTTTCGAGAAATGGCTGACCACCAGCCATCCCATTTTGGTAGACCTTTAAAACCGTTTTCATCTCGGTCCTGTCCTAAGCTCTTCCAGTGTTTGTGTGCATGTGATTTCATTCAGCTTTCCTTCCCTGGGGTGAGGTGACATTCAGTGAGGCTGTAGGCAATGGTCCTCCTCAGTCTCCTGCGGTTGGGGGCACTGCTAGTGTCCCTGCACCAGAAATGAATATGGTTTCACTCCAGTTAGTATGAAATAAATGTCAAGTGGTGCCTAGTAGTGTCCTGTGGAACTGAAGAGAACAGCTGTATCAGAATTGTTCTCTTGTTGTTGTATACCAGGAGTGGGGAACCTTCTTTCTCTAAGGGCCAGTTGGGAATTTATAACATTGACGGGACATACAAAATTATCTACTTAAAAATTAGCCTGCTATATTTGGTCAAACATTTCGTAATCTCACCTCTATTGTGATGGTTGGAAGTATAGATGCCTTGGCAAGATCAGATCAAATGATTTCTAGGGCCTTGTACAGCCCTCAGGCCAGACACCCCACCCTGTTGTTTACCTTCTTTAGAGCTGTAGTAATTCATTTAGCACACCATTTATCCCTGATGGCTTTCATTTTCTACAAAAGAGATTATTTAGGTAATTTGTAGGTTGTGTGAAAAGGGGGAAAAAATACAATTTGGGTATGTAAAGTTTCATAAATATTTACCATTATTTACATATTGGAGGTTTAGGTGGGTGGGTAATCCCTTATCATCTGCAGTTGACTTAACTCGTTGGTTCGTTGTATAGGCATAGATTGTACCAGAATGTAGTGATATAATTATTAGAGTTTAACTTGTACAGGGTACTCAGAGTAGACTCATACAGCAAAAATATGATTGAAAAGTGTGTTTGGTGAGTGTTCCTGACTGTGGACCCGGCATTTCTTCATTTCAGGAAAGCTCGTGGTAATTGCAGTTATTGATGAGAAAAACACGTCAGTGGAACATACAAGGTATAGTACCTTGAAATAGTTTGAAGCTTTAAACATCATCCGATTCAGACTGGGCAGGCTTCACATAAATGTTACGTGGTCTCTAACTTGCCCTGCAGCACCTAGATAAGGTAGTAGATACCTGTTTGCAGAAGAGGAGATGGCATTTTCATGTTTGTGTTCTTCTGCAGGTTAAAGTCAGTTATCCAGGAAGTTGCCCAGGATTACAAAGCCCACTTCCGCAGGTAGGTACTTGAGTTCTGAGCGCCCTCGGCCTGTGTTGATGTAATAAAGCATCAGGAATAGTGTTTTATGCTTTGAGAGGTGAGTCAGCGGGCTGAAGGAAATGATAGCATTTGCTAAATTGTATTCATGTGTATTTATAAATCAAAGCCTATAGAATTCATACTGTCTTCTCTAGTTATTGCATATGATTTGCATGTTAAATGTCTACAGTGTCGGTTACATGCTTAGTAAGCCTCAACACCCTGTTCCCATTCTGTGCAATATTTACTTTTTTTTTGTATTTACTCTGTTTCTTTTTTTTGTTGTTGGTTAGGGATTTTCACTTTGGCCATATGGATGGGAATGAATATATAAATAGCTTGCTGATGGAGTAAGTAAACTTCTAAATGCTATATACATTTTTAAATGCCTGTTCTAAGTAAGAAACAGAAGGACTAATAACTTAAAAACTGGTGTTATTCTGAGGTAGATATTCTAGTATTTAGTTTTCGAATTCAATATTTAAATTTTACTGATTTTTAATATTCTAGCTCAAAAACAAATTCTCATCATGGTTCAATGTCTATAGTAGGAAACTTGATTAATAAAACAATTAAAAAAAGATGCGCTACAGTTGAAACAGTGCCGAAAGGGAACTAGCATTGAAGGCTTACATAAGAAAACATGTGAGCGAAGTAAGCAGAGACTGTCTCATGGAACTAGAACAAGAAGAGCAGAATCAACACATCCTAGAGAAGCAGAAGGCAATAATAGATTTAAAAAACCAACATGAGGATAATGGAGAAAGACAATGAGTTAATAATCCATGTAATTGGTAAATTTCTAGCAAGGCGGACAAAGGTACAAGACCCTAATCACTTACAGTAGGAGTGAAACAAGGGCTTACAGCAGCTCCTGTGACCAGTGAAAGGTGAATGAATGAATAATGAAACACAGGAACAAATCTATGGTCATTTGACTGCACACACACAGAATGAAGCGATCCCTAGAAAACAGCAAACTCTGCAGCAGTAATCTTGTGTTGTATCCAGGGTTTATGAAGACCAGGAGGAGACTGGTCTGTCATCTTGTCCAGACCAGAACTCAGAACTTATTTTTGTAAAAATGTTAGAAAATATATATGTGTAATTCCTCCTCTGTCCCAAAGAATCATTCCAACACGGTTCCTTGAATTGCTCTGGTCCCAGTTTTGTTCTCATGAATCCATTTTCTATTCATTTCTGTTGGGTCTTTTCCTAACCTTTAGTTCCACTTCCCTTCCAGGACTGATATCACACTGTTGTCATTGCCGCACGTTTATTGTGGTGGTGGTTGTTGTTAGTGCTGTGGAGTCAGTTTTGACTCATAGCGACTCTGTATAGGGTTTCCAAGGAGTGACTGGGGGATTTGAACTGCCAAACTTGCAGTTAGCACCACACCAGGACTCCGTGTTGTTAGAGCATGTCTTACATTTAGATCAGAAATTCTGTGAGGGAGTCCCAGTAGTTGATAATTTAAACAATTCTCTCTGGTTCAGATAGCCACCAGAGTTAAAGAGCCAACTCGCTGTTCAGTGTAGGCAGGTGGTGCACAGAAGAAATTCTTGAGTAATGGAAAGTGTCCGTGAACCCTCTTTGTAGGCACATGTTTATAACTAGATGAGACTGAGCGTATAGTTACTAATGAAAAACAAGCCATTTTTCTTAGCCTGGACTCCTGGTGTGGTGTTACGGGATAAGCCCTAGACTGTGAACCATAAGATTGGCATTTCAAACCTACCAGCTGCTGCTCGGAAACCTTGTGCAGGGTCGCCATGTTGTAGCTGATTCGGCGGCAGTTAACGACAAGAAGCATAGATGTGATGTGGAGATTAATAAGTACTGTCACTTCAACAACTGGTGTGGCTGAAGTCCGTGTATTTTATTGAACCCTCTTAAGAAGAGAAAAACGGTTGTTGCAGGTTCCCAATGCTGTTGTAAATTACGTGAATAGTATTTTAATTTATGCAAGTAACTATTTTAATTTCTTAGATGGTGTAGAGCGATAAAAACAGTTTGCAAATTAAATACAGACCCTTGTCTGTGTGATCAGTAGCATCAAATTCATTTATAGTTAATGTGATATATGACTTAGTATTACTGAGACAAAATTGCTGATTTTAGTGAGAATATAATGAAGACTCTTAATCCGTACCCTCTGTAGAGCTTAATTTTTTTTTGTGGAGTATGATTCATTTCTTCGAGTCCTTTTTGTAATTGTTTCCACCAATCCTTTATTTTTTTTCACACTGCCATGATCTTCAAGTGGCACCACTCTGTCACATGTATGTTGACCTGACTTTGTTTTAATTTCTGATAATTCAGATATTACTTTTTGGCACCAACAAAGTTTCCAAACACAAAGTACTAAAATGAGAATCAAAAGCAAGAATTCAAACAGATCCTTGTACACCAATGTTTATTGTATAGCAGTAACCCACTGTAGTAACCAATTACCAGTACCCACTGTACCACTTGTAAGAAACTTGGCCAGTGAAAACCCTTAGGAGTAGCAGTGGAACACTGTCAGATGTAGTGCTAGAAGATGAGCCCCTCAGGGTGGAAGGCACTTAGAATAAGACTGGGAAAGAGCTGCCTTCTCAGAGGACAGTTGACCTCAATGACTTGGATGGAGCAAGGCTTTGGAGACCTTCTTTGGTGATGTTTCACAACTCAAAATGGAAAGAAACAGCTTCAGACATCTGTTAATAATCAGATGGTAGACGGTACAAACTGAACCTAAGAAACTTGGAAGTTGTCCAGAATGAAATGGAACACATAAAGTTTGACATCCTAGGCTTTAATCAACTGAAGTGAACTGATATTGGCCATTATGAATTGGACAGTCATGTGCTCTACTGTGTCATAATGACAAATTGAGGGATGGTATCACGTTCATTATCAAAAAGAGAACAAGTCAAGATCTATACTAAACTACAATTCTGTTGGTGGTGGTATATGCGGTGGAGTTGGTTCTGACTCACAGTGACCCTGCACAGGGTTTCTGAGGCTGTAAATCTTTACGGGAGCAGACAGGCTCATCTTTCTCCCATGGAATAGCTGGTAGTTTCGAACTGCTGACCTTGAGAACTGTTCGCAGCCTAATTCGTAACCAGTATGCTACCAGAGTGCCTTACAATTCTGTTAGTGATAGGTTAATATCCATACATACACCTGTGAGATGTGGGTAATGTGTTCAGTGTGGATTATGTGTTACTCATATTGTCAGGAGGGACCAGTCACTGGAGAAGGATATCATGTTTGATAAGGTGGAGGGGTCAGAGAAAAAAAGAAAGACCCCCAGCGAGATGGATTGGCCAAGTGGCAGCATCAGTGGGCTCAAGCATGGCAACAGTAGTGAGGTTGGCCCAGGACCGGGCAGTGTTTCGTTCTGTTGTACATAGGGTCGCTATGAGTCGGTACCAACTCAATGGTACCTAACAAAAACAACCACCAATGTTAATCATTTCAGGCTTAGCATGAACATTTAGAAATTTTATATAAATTATATGTAAGATGTATGTAATTAGCACTTTAGATCAGTTATCTCAAAAATATCATCATTGAGATGAGAATAAAAGGTGAATAATTGGGAAGAAAAGTAACACAATAAACAATAGTGCTGATTGCATAGCATTATTGTTAAGTGCCATCGAGTCAGTTCTGACTCAGCGACCTTAAATAGGGTTTCCAAGGAACAGCTGGTGGATATGAACCACCTACCCTGTGGTTAGCAGTTCGTCCTTACCCTGTAGCACCACCCCAGTGCTCTCTCTTAAGTAAAGGAGCTAAATCATTTCAGTGGGATAGTTATCCCAAGACTGACTTATGGGCTCTAATAAGAAGGTTTTGGTGGCTGCTATAGAATAAGATTGACTTGTTTTTCTTCTTTCACTTGTATTCTTAAGCAGAGTTTTAGTTAGCTGGTTTTGTCCTAATTTCATCAGCCTCATGGTAACTAGGAGCCCTTGGTGGCACTGTAGGATAAGCACTGGACTGCTAACCACATGGTTGGCAGTTCAAACTGCCAGCCACTTTGCAGGAGAATGATGAGGCTTTCTGCTTCTGTAAAGATTTACAGCCTCGGAAATCCAATACAGGGTCATTGTGAGTTGGATCCGAGTCCACAGCATCTGACAACGACTAGACCAGTTAATACAGCTGTTACTCAGATTTGCGCACTAACCATTCGTCCTACATGTGAATACATTGAAGGGTTTTCAGAAATCGTGCAACCTGAAATTGATCAACTATGTGGTCAAGATAGAATGATAATGGCTGGTGATTGGAATCTAATAGTTGAAAACCGAATAAGGAACAGTGGTTAGGAAATACGCCCTTCGTGCTAGAAACAACTCCGGGGAGCTCATGGTAAGAAATTTGCTAAACCAACAACTTAGTCATTTGAAATAAAATTTGTCATTAACATAAATGGTGACTGTGCACATCTGAGTTTACCAGATAGGTTCTACAAGAGTCAGATAGACTACATCTGTGGGAAGAGACAATCGAGACGCTCAATACTATCAACCAAAACTAGACCAGGGGCAGACTGGGTAACAGACTGTCAACTGCTCAGATGAAAGTTGAGGCTGAAGCTGAAGAAAATTAAAACAAGTCTATGAGAGCCAAACTATGAGTTTCATTTAACCTGAATTTAGAGACCATCTCAAGAACAGATTTGATACAATGTGACTGAAGGCCAGAAGACCATTGGGTGACTTCAGGAGCATCAAAGAAATTGCTTTAAGGGCTGAGGTACACCTAACACAAGCCCTGATATTTTCAGCTGCTTCATGTATGTGAAAGCTAGACAGTAAGACCGAAGAAGTGATATGTTTGTATGATGGTGTTGGTGAGAAGTATTAAAAGTACCATGGACTGCCAGAAAAACAAACAAATCTGTTTTGGAAAAAGTACTGCCAGAATGTTCCTTGAAGGGTGGTGAGACTTCGTGTCATGTACTTTGAGCATGTTGTCAGCAGGGACCAGTCCCTTGAGAAGGACATCAGGCTTGGTAAAACAGTCAACAGACAAAGCGTTCAGTGAGATGGATTGACGAAGTGGCTGCAACAACGAGCTACAACTATAACAATTATGTTGATGGCAGAAGGGAGCAGTCGCTGGAGAAGGATGCCATGTTTGGTAAGGTGGAGGGTCAGAGAAAAAGAGGAAGACCCCCCAGTAAGATGGACTGGCAAAGTGGCAGCATCGATGGACTCAAGCGTGGCAACAGTAGTGAGGTTGGCCCAGGATCGGGCAGGGTTTCGTTCTGCTGTGCATAAGGTTGCTATGAGCGGGTACTAACTTGATGGCACCTAACAACAACAACAGGACCGGGCAGTGTTTCCTTTCAAACCACAACATTCACAGCTGCCAAAAGATGGAAGCAACATAAATTCCATCAAGAGAGAAATTTACAAGGGAATGGGGACACGCAGACTGGACCTCTCCCAACCTTCTTTCTGACCGTGACTTCCACCTCTTGAGGCTTTTCAGCAAAGGATCCTGCTGAGTCCACTGAAGTTCTGATAAGAAAAACCTAATAGATAATAAACGGATATTGTAATCATTTGTTATAACCACAGTAGAAAAGTAATACATTAAATATGTTTTTTTAACTTGTTCTCTTGAAGGGTGAACATTTCAAAGATTATTTAACTAAAAGAAAATGCAAGACTTCACAAGCATATCAAGTGCTATCATAATGTTAGAACCATAGGAATGATTTCACTTTGGAATTAGTGAGTGGACATTTCTGTCTCTGGGAGAACAGAGACAATTCTGCTTTCTTCTGTCCCATGCATTTGAAAGGAATCTGACTGTCTTTAAAGAGATCTAGTTTATTGTCCATCATTATACAGTAGCTAAGGAGCCTTGGGGGCCCAGTGGGTTCACTGCTGGGCTGCTGTGCGGCTCACCAGATGCCTGCTAATCAAACCCACCAGCCACTCCAGTGGAGAAAGATAAGGCAGTCCACTTCCCTAAGGTTCAACAACCTCAGGACCCCTAGGGGCCAGGCCTGCTCTGTCCTAGGAGAGCACTCACTGTGAGTCGGAATCTACTCCCTGGTAGTGGGTTTGGTTGGGTTTTAAATGCAGTAACTTACAGAGCCCAAGGGAAGGAGACGTGGACGGAGCTTTGACACCAACGCCAGTGGAACATCCAGGGCAGTTCCCTTCTGGACCGTCCAGCCCAGCCCAAACTGATGTTTGTTGTAATACTAGTGGGAGGTCCTTATTGAGCTCTGAGCCTGGGCCCTCCACCAGACCAGCAGTCCGTGTGCATTATCTCATCCGAATTTGACAGTCACCCTCCAGGTGCAAGTCCTAGCTATTACTGTTTCCAGTTGATATAGATGAGGACATTGGCGTTTCTTAGACGAAACTCAAGGATGTTGGCTAATGTGCCCAAGGATGCCTTAGAGCAAGTGAGATGAGGAAGTCCAGGTCTCTGAACTAGAGTAACATTGCTAGTGGTGAGTAAGGGCAGTCACGTTGAAGAGGTGTTGATACCAAACATGGTTTTAGTTTGGACTGTATGCCTGGTATTCTTACAAGTTAAAATAACAGCATTGAACTGTTTGTAGTTTACGTTTTTCTCCAGACAGTAGATCTTGAGATAATAAATCTTTGTTCTATTAAATTATTTTGTGTTTGTTTTCTGTGAATCTATTTAATAGGATGCAATGAGATGTTACTTCCCCTCATTATTCCTTTTGGATTCTTGTGTTTTTTCAGGAAAGGTGTTTTTGTGTGAATTCTAGGTTCTTATCTATTCCACAACAAAGGAAGATATATTTTTATCTGTTTGTGACTCATGCATTACAATAACTGATAACTGAACAGCTGCGTATAGCTACTGGTTTTGGAGGCAAGACTAGCACTGAGTGTTTGTTTGTATTTGTATTTTTTAATTCTACAGTCAGCTGTTCTTCCCTGATAACATTGTAGAACGTACCACACTGATCCTAGTGATTTTCCAGTCTACAGTGACTATCTCTTGTGTGTTGGCCCAGCTGGTTTTGACAGGGCACATGTAGGTGTGGCTCCAGACTGCCACAAGCCCTCCGTGGTCCTTGGCCCTGGTGGAAACAGGAAGCCCAGCCACACGAGCACTTGAGGCACCTGGGAGCCCAGCATCCGGGCTCTGACGGGTCCACCTGTGACGTCACTGGGACAAGGCTGTGGGCAGAGGGAGGGGTACTGATCCTCAGAACAGTAGTGAGCAGCCCTTCCTCAGTATCTTAGGCGGTGATAGTAGAGGGTTTGAGGAGCCCTGCTGGCTCAGTGGTTTAATGCTTGGCTGCTAACTAGAGGGTTGGCAGTTCAAATCCACCTACATCTGTGGGAACAAGCCTTGGCAGTCTGCTCGGTCAGATTGCAGCCCAGCATGCCGGGCACCAGATCGACCCCCCTCCAAGGCACACAGCAGGAAGACGGTCACTGTGGGGTCATTTATTCAGGCCATCAACTTTTATACTTTGAATATGGACATATAAATAGCCATAGGCGGAATTAAGCTCCTTTTATCATTACACGAAGCTCTACCCCTGAAGGGACATTTGCAACAATGAAATGGTACATACTGGCCATGGCATGCCATTGTTCAGTCTCCAAGCAGAATCATGCATGTCATGGGGCACCTGGAGGAAAGGGATGGGGTGTCTAGTGGGAGTTAGAACATATGCCAGAGTGTTGAAAATATATTGCATAAAGAGTTGTGTGCCAAATGTTTAACTTGCATTTTCTCGTTTAATTTGTATAGCAAGAGTAGGTACTATTGCCCACTCCCTTCTTCCAGACTTCATAATTTTCAAAAGCCAAGTTACTTGCCTGCCAGTTGGTGATTTGAGCCCATCTTGTAGGACTGCAGGGAGATGGTGCCTGAGGACCCCTCTCCTGTGATATGGTTCTGTGTGACTGGCACTGAAAGTGCTTCAAGTCCGTTTGTGGTGAGGAACGATGCCACCCAGGAACTGATCCTCACTTTTAGCAGGGGGTATTCAGCTGTCTGCATTGTGGAGCGTATCAGAAGGTTTTTAGTATAATAATAATTGAAGTGCTTTTTAAATTGATGTGAACTTTGAAAATCTCTTCAGGTAGGCCAAGCTTTAGTGGCTCCCTTTGTCATAGTGGCTGAGCTGTAGTGTGAATTAGCAGAATATTTGGTGTTTGTATTTAAAGCATATTTTGATTTATGTGCGTTTGTTATTTTCAGTGAATTGATGGTCCCAACTGTAGTTGTTCTGAACACTTCAAATCAGCAATACTTTTTACTGGACAGACAGATTCAGAGTGCTAAGGACATGGTCCGGTTCATCGACAGCATTTTGAACGGCACCGTGGAAGTAAGTCATCCATTTCTTACTCACAGGGACGATGGGGAGCGGTAGAAAACGACTCCATGTGTCTCCTCGTGATTCTGCGCCGTCAGCTAGGGCCAGCATGGAGATCGAGGGAGGGTCCTGTCTGTCAGGAGCTGATGGAGGTGTGGGGGGCCAGGTGGAGGGTGATTGAAGGAGTTCCTGGTGCTCAGGCCTCAGGCCCGGGGAGCCCGCAGCACGCTGCCTTTTCCTGCCTGGAGCAGCCTGCTGGTCAGCATAGACCACTGGACTGTGGTGTCAGGTCGCAGCTGCTTCTAAGGTAAGTTCACTGAGAAGTGCGGCCTCCGTGGAAAGTGTCACATGCTGTCTGTAAGAGATGTCTCAGAACTAATGCCTACACGGCTTCCTTTGGTTTCCCTGTCAGCGTTACTGTGTCCTTTTCCAAATATGGTTCTGTAGCAGCTTCCCTACTCCGTATTAGAGGGTCATGCAATTCCATGAGTGGGTGACAGGAGACTGAATGGAAAAGATGAGACTTGGTGGCTTGGGTAGAGTTTGATGATTATACTGTGACGTTTGGTTTCACACAAACTTCTTGTGACTGACTCACTCACGCCGCAACAAGTCCTGCTACTTTGGGTCAAGGCCAAGAAATGGGAGGTGAGTGGCACTCAACCTGCCGCTGAATGGTGGAGTTTGTGATTCACAGGCTCACACATCAGGCCACGTTGGCTGCATGGCTGAGAGATGAAGGAACGCCATTGGGATGGTGGGTTTGCAGCAGGAGCGCCCCTCTCTGCCCCTCACTCGGTAGTGCTCCCTCACAGCTGTGTGTCCACAGCCAGGCAGGAGCGGGACTCAACTCCCACCTGCACTTGTTGAACTAGAACGTGGAATGAACAAGGAATTGTACTTCAGTAACATGGGTTTTTTTGTTGTTAAATTCAAGGCACAAGGAGGTGATAGCATCTTGCAGAGATTGAAAAGAATCGTGTTTGATGCCAGAACTACTGTGGTGGTGAGTAGTCATAGAATCAGGATGGACAGGAAGATTATAGGGCAGGAAAGACGGCCTCTTCAGCTTGCAGAATACTTCCTAGGCAGTACTTATATTAAACGTGCATTAATTACGTGGACGCTAAGATGACGAGAGATCCACCAACAATTCTCAATGTTTTAAACATGTAGGGATGTGGAAAGAAAGTCCTAGAGTGGCTCATGTCTCAGCTGCCAGCAACTGAACACACACATGTGTACACACACAACATGTATGTCTCCTGTAGGGCTTGTAGTTACACTACCAGTACCTGGTCACACACACACACAACATGTATGTTCTCCTACAGGGTCTGTAGTTACACTACTAGTGCCTGGTCACACACACATGCACATGCACACACACATGCACACACACACACACACACATGTATCTCCTACAGGCTCTGTAGTTAATAAGCAATAGTAACCATAATTCATTGGAACTAAAAGCCATCTTTTATTATTTTCATATTTTGTTTTGAGAACAGTTTAACTAAGTACTTGCTTGCAGTCTTTTGCTTCCCCGGGTTTTTCTATATATCACTGTGACTTAGAGATATACTAGAAATGAAAAGAGCCCAGGAATGGCGGTAAGAGATTGATGTCATGGTTTAAAATCCATTCGTGCCTTTGTGTGTGGGAATCTAACTGAGGAGAACCACGTTTCCATTCTCTGTCCACAGTCAATCTTCAAGAGCTCGCCGCTGATGGGCTGCTTCCTCTTTGGCCTGCCATTGGGTGTCATCAGTATCATGTGCTATGGCATCTACTCGGCTGACACAGACGGGGGCTACATAGAGGAGCAGTATGAACTCTCGAAAAGTGAAATGGAAAGCCAAGAGTTGACGGAAGAGAACCAAGAACAGCAGGAACCGAGTGGGGAAGCCTCAGCCATGCAGACGATGCACGAACCCAAAGATGCATCAGAAAAGAAGAAGGATTGAACCATCGTGGAAGACAACATCGGATAGGGGTTCTCGTTATTCAAAAGTCTATTTATTGAGTTGAGACATTTAATCATGATCCTGACGTGCGTGTTGCTAATACCGACTGCATGGATTAAAGGACTTCCACCATAAATGGGGCGGGGCTGGGGGTGGGGGATGTTTGGAGCAGAAAGATGGGGGGCAGGACTCAAACATGCAGGTGGAAATGAGACGGGACCAGAGTTTGTAGGTGTCACTTCACACGTCAGTCAGATTTGCATGTTTCTCTATCTGAATATTCGTGTCAACGTGAAGATTCTTGGGTAAAATATTGAAATTGGCCAATCAGGTAGACGATACATGTTCAACATAGGAAAAGAAAACCTCTACCCCCTGCTCATATATTTTGGATAAGATTTATATGGACAGAAATTAAGTCTTTAAAAAAAAAATTAGGCACTTTAAGAACTGATAATATTTTCACATCTCAAATGAAAGTTCTGAAGTTAATCAGTTTGGTTTTGTATAGCATAACCATCTTTATTTTCTGGTTATTTTCTAAACGAGAGAAAATGTTACTTTTTAATTTTATATTAAGTTGCATTGTGACAAAGTTTTCAGATGGCCTGTAGAGTGGATGAGAGTCTTATGCTTGATTGTGCTGTAAGTTGATGGACTTGGAAGAGTGCTTCACACATACCCCCGGGCTCCCTTTGTAGACACCGCAGTGTGTGTGTGTGTGTTGGGGGGAGGGTGACGGGGGGCGTTGGGTGAGGGGTGTGACAGGCCCTCCCACCAGCTCCGGCCAAGACAGCTCTGTGTTGTGTCTGTTTTATATATTGGGATTTCTTCTAAAATTTTCTTTGATAAAAAGCTGCTTCTGCTTTTTCAAAAGTAATATATATCATCCTCTTTATGGTAACTTATATTTCAGTGTGTGTGTTTGTGAGTGTATGTATGTGTATATATATCTGTATGTATATAGAAGCCTCACTGACCATAGCCTGCTAGGTAGTACTGCTGTATCTGTGTTCATAGGAGTAAATAGATCACATTGTCAGCATGTCCACCAATGAAAGTCATGCCCAGTGGAAAGAGATTTGCCAGGTATCTCCTCTGTCCACCCCCCAGCTCCATCACTCACGTCAACCAGTGTAATATGTTAGGAATTCCACCCCAAGTAGCGTGTACAGGGGGCTAGTTTTTCCTGTGACCTTATGGTGTGTTTACTGTAGATTGATTTTTTTTGTTTGTTCTTAGGCTTTTGTTGTAGCTGAGTTTAGAATTTGCTTAGGTGACTTTATTCGGTGGTTATTATTCCTTGGATAATTGACTTATCAATGTAAACGATTCCATTAAACATTTAAAAATGTTTACTTATTTAAGAATAGGTCATTGATGCTACTGATACTGAAGTCTTTTCGGACTTTTGATATTTCTGATGCCTTGCTGATCATGACTAAGCTGAAACTCCCGTACCTGAAGCACTAAGGAATTATTCAGTTATTGTTTTATTGCACCCATGTGGTCTGAGGGTTAGTGTTTATAGCTCAGTAGTCATGCTTATTGTTGGGGACCCCGTTATTTTAATAATGAGTCACAGAAATTCAAGAAATAGGGTGAGTGTTCCCAAGTGGAGACTGGAGACACACGTTCTTAGTTTGTCAGCTGGAATCCTAGAAGGTGGGTACCATGTTCCTGATGCTCACACTGCTACGCTCATTCCTGTGAGCGGAGGCAATGGCAGCAAGGGATCAGTGAGAGGGGTCTTCAGTGCTCGGAGAATCCCCTGCTTTCTCCCTTCGTGTTTCCCACTCTGAATGTGTGTCATCTGTGTGATTTTGTCTGTGGATGGAAGCACTCAAGCATCACCTCTAAATGGGAGTCCAAGGGACGGGGAGACTAAAGCTCAGATGGACAAAAGACAAACTCCGGGGAGCTTCTTGTGGTCTTGGAGACTTTCTCTGTCTGTAGGAATGCCTTGGTTCCCTGATACTCTCTTCACAAGCCTCTGCTGTTGGGTCTAAATGTGCGAGTCCTTTTAAAGTGTGATCCTTGGGAAAAAAAACACATGTAGGTAGTTTGTAAGTGAATATTTTCATTTCTTCCTCTTTGTGTGTAGACCACGGGCTGCTTAGCAGTTTCAACTGTTTACGTGTCTGCTTTTCCTGGCAGTCCGCCCTCAGAGCTTCCTACAGCCGCAGCTCTCTTCAGAACTCACACCTGCAGCCAACATCAGACCTCTAGTCACTGAATCCAGTGGGGGAACGTAGCTGCTGTAATTCACTAATAAATTAGTATTCTTATTGCATCTCAGGCACAGTAATGCCTGACCTTCAGTGAGGTGGTGTTTCACCTGCCCTTTCATTTGCAAAAGTTCTGTTTCTTCTACAGTTCCGAGTTCCGGATGCTTGCTGCTGAATCTGGACCTCAGAGTCCAGCTCCTTAGGCCCTATTTTAGAGAGGGGAATTGCTTGTTTTTCTGAAGTACCCTGTTCACCCTCAGGGCTCGCCTTCCTTGTGACCTTAGTGCATTGCAGGCTTTAGCATTTCTCTGGCTGATCTTATCTGGATCTTGTCTGAGGCATTTTGGGTCCATAATTACCCTTTTCTTCCTCACGTATGCTTCTCCCTGGCATCTGCCTAATTTCTGAGGTTGAAGAATGGGTATGTATTGTGGATCTACACGAGTAGGGGGCTAGCTACACGTTTTTTTAGTTTAGTGGACTTCTGTTGTCTTGAGATGTATTTAAGCGGACTCTTGGGTTTGGGGGTCTGGTTTTGCTTTTGCAAAAAAAATAACTGAATTGTTTTCATCATGGCTTCATATGACAAGGGAGGTGGGACGGAAAATTTGTCCTGTTTTTGTTATGCAGAAATTGTTCAGATCAGTGTGAACCATTAGGACTATCATTTGATTGGTAGGATTAAGATTTGCCATTTTATTTATGTTTGTATATTTGCTTCTTAATGTGTCTGAGTCTCAAGAGTGGGCAGTTCTTTGTTTTCCCCCTTTTTTTAATTTTGGACTCCATCAAGGGTTTTGAATGTGTATTACTTGTTGCGTTCATGATGTCCTGCCGATGGTACCAATTGTAAACCTTTGCTTTTGTAAAATAAATTCACTGAAAATGTGTCTTATTTTATTTTGACTCCTTTTTGTTTTTTTTGTGAAATAGTATTCTGTGCAGAGAGGACAGTTAAGACTACAAAGTGTTTTTTCCCTTTGAGTAAAATGTACTTCATTCATAGCAATAAAAACAGCATTTGTGAATTTAAATGGGTTTTTTAGACATTTGAACCTGATCTGATCCATTTAACACATCAAAAACCTAAGGTTCATAGGCTGGACATGTTTTAGAAGTGACGTATAAAGCCTGAGGTTTTCATTTTTCCCTCGCACTGCAGCGAGGGAAAGGCCTGCCTGTAGGCATGGCCAGGAAGCTGTCCTGAGTCATTCTGGATCCTGAGGAGTAACCTGTATCTTCCTTGATAAACATAACTGAGGTAGGTCTGAGGGTTCTGTGTGGCCACTGTAACGGGTCATGGAACCCCGTAGAGATGTGGAGAGTGCTGTGTGAGCAAGGGCTGGTAGAAGGGCCAGAGAGAAGGAGTGAGCCCGACCTCCGCCTAGGGCTGATGCTGATCGAGAGTCTCCTCCCCCTTGTGACGTCCCCTGAGGTCTGACACCACCGTGCACCCTCCTTTTGCAGAGGTGGGAGAACTGGGTTTGTGTCGTTCATCCACTACAGCACAGTGACCTGGGACACTCTGCCTGGTCCCCCGCCCTTGTCCATAAGAACAGACTGACACCTCCCGCGCTCGCTGCCTTTGTGTCTAAGCACCGTTTGGGGAAAGTGTATTACGAAAAAGCAGTGGTTTATACAAATAACCTGGTTTCAACGTTGTTACATATTTTATGCCGTGGGCATGCACTGAGTGCTCTCTAGCTCAGAATAACAGATGGCCATGCCCTAAAATGGTCTCATGTGCAAGCTGCTGAGGATGGGCTCCGTTTTATCGGTGAACTGGGGGACGACCACCTACCTGGGTTCGATTTCTTTCCTCATCACTTAGCCCTGCGCAGCGCAGGCTAATTCACAGAACCTCTCAGCTCTCAAGTGGCCTTACCTGTGCTTTGGGGAAGAACGCATCTGTCTCACTGGGCTGTGAGGATTGAGTGAGGCATGAGGCCAATATACAACAGTGACTGGCACCAAGAGATCAGGTGCTAACCAACTGTTGTCACTTAACCTGGTTCACTTTCTTCCATTTCCAGTACAAATTTACTCGTGTACTACAGCGAAGTCCTGGTGTGGTGCTGTGAGTTAATGCGCTGCACTGCAAAGCCAGTTTGAACTGCAAGGTGGGTGGATCAGGCTCACCAGCAGCTCGGAAACCCTATACAGGGTCGCTGTGGATCAGAACTGACATGACGGCACTTAACAACAACAATACTTCAGAGAAAGGTTAAACCATCAGGAATCAAATCCTAATGTTGTCATTTGCTTGGCTGTTTCCTAACAATGGAAGCCCTAACACTTTAGAGAGAAATGAAAAGGGACTATTAGTTTGAAATTAAACTTATGATTAGGTTCCCAAATATCTGAAAATCCCTTGGGTTTTGTGCTTTTAGTGAAAATATGTAAGCATGAAAAAACACTGCCATCGAGTCAATTCCAAGTTATAGCCATGTTATAGAGGATTTCTGAGGCTGTAAATCTTTTATGGAAGCAGTGGATTTGAACTACCAACCTTGCAGTTAGCCCAGCACCTAACCCATAGTACCATCAGGTTTCCTTAAGCATGAAAGGGTTTAAGTATTGAGTAGGATTATTGATGGATGTGTGTGTGAATAGTTTGATGGATAACACGTGTGAGTTAGACACATGTAGACTTAAGGGACACTAGAAAAGTTCTGAGTTTTATCCTGCATACCTTTGTGACTGCCTTCCTAGGCCCTTAGCTTCTCTCTCATGCTCTGTAAGCCGAAATGGTCTTGTGAACAACTCGTGTAAAAGCTAATTCACCAATGACTCCACCCAGACGTCTGCCTAGTGTCTCCTACCTACGTCTGAGGACAGTGCAGGGAGAGTGATGGCCTCAGCCCCAGCGGGGTGGTTGATTAGTTTTCTGTACATCAATCATTTTAACTTAACTTCATTCCAAGCTTCCAATTTTTCTGGTTTCTACCATTTTGCTTCTCAGAATGTATTGTTCAGTGTAGGATTATTGCTGGTTGTCAGGTCTTTGGGAAGAGGTGAGAAGGAAGCAGAAGAGGTCAGGTTTACTCTCCGCATCTGCACTGGTGGAGGGGGTGGGGGTAGGTGGGAGTGGGTGGTGGTGGTGGTGTGTGTGTGTGTTTATGTGTGTGTGTGTCACGCGGGTGGGAGGGTAGACAGTGAAGACAGCTCAGAACTGAAACGAAGGAAGGAGGATCAGAGGCACGGTGGGCTGTCCTGGGAGGTTCAGCGCTCACACTGAAAATACTCCAACACAAACCAGACAAGTTTTGGCGCCCAGTTTCTTTCAGAGACCAAGACAGTTTGGAAGTAAGCACTGAAGGCCCCCACTACGCCCATGCTTGGAACAGTCCCTTCTTTCTGCTAGAAAAAGCCAAGTTTCAGCCAATTTTAATATACTCAATTTTAACTATATAGATGAAACAATTATGTAGATGAACCTGGAAAAATATGTGCGTATAGTAGAAATTGTACACGTGCAAATCTTTCATGTGAATGTTTAATCACTTAACTGTGATCACACATTGATTTGTGTAACAGTGGTTTGTGCCATTAAAATTGTAAATACGTGTTTCATGCGATCTTTGGAAATGTTACCCCAAAACATAACCCTTTTAAAACTAGTGCATGGTTAGATTGTCATGGTGTTCCTGAAGAACATTCAATAGGTAAAATGGTTGACATTGTACTTGTAGGACTAATCTCTGTCTTCTGTGTTAAATGTATTCGCCTCCTCTTAATTCTTAACCTGGGCATCAGGGGCATTGCAAATCATTAATCAACATTATTGATGCTTTAAGTTTACATGACTTCTCAAAATATAATTTAATAATAATCGAGAGACTTGCAAACTCGGAAAGATTTTTGTAAGGATTTAAGTAAAAGATGTCACCCTTTTTTTCCCAAGGGATAATTTTGCAAAGACTAAAGACATTCATAAAACTCACCATGTATTTGACTCTCATTTTTCATTAAATACTGGAAAAAATACGATGTTCCAAACCATTTTCCCACAGCCATCTCTATTCAACCGGGTTCAGTAAGCCATTGCAGTTATCATACAGAACTCACACACTATACTCAGAGTTAGGGAGTTTATTAGGAAAGTTAATAGTTCGCAATTCAGGGTCAGAAATGTTCAAGACACAATTCTTGACATCAGTCAACTGCTGATAAATGCCCATAAGATACACCACTCCACCCTAAGTCTCAGCCTGAAGGCCACTTGTCTCTAGCAACATGGACCGGGAAACCCATGTTGCTAGAAACACTGGCCCTGATTTAAGTGCTTGGAGGTCCCCCACTCTACGAGGCAGCTTCCTGCCCAAAGTCATTCAGCATCACTTGCTCTATGGGCTGTGAAGTCCATAGCTTTGGATTTTGATTCTGCTCCTCTGCTCCTCTGTTGTAGCAGCTTTCTGTCCCTGGGTCGAGACGGTTCAATGCACAGGGGTCTTGGGGTCCAAAACCATGCTCCACTCC